AGAAGAGAGTTATGGATTATCTGCATTGCTGCTGCCTTCAAGTAGTGTGGATAATCAAGGGTTGACTAGACAAGTGCAGAATGATTTTTAAAGTGTCAGTGCTGTGTAGACCAAACTCCATATGGTTCCTGATGTAAGCAGGCTCATGGCTGAGACAAAAGATTTGTACTGAGATGGTGCCTATGCAAGTGAAGCAAAGAGGAAACGTAATCAGCCAACCTGTTGCGGCTATTCTGCCTTCTAAATCATTCATGACTGGTGTGTCTTCCTCCCTAGTCCTCCCCCAGACTCTTTTCTAGACTGTTGTAATAACCTCCGAGGAGTCCTGTAGCCTCCAGACTGTTCCTTACCAATTCATCCTCCACTTGGTTTTAAACTAGACATAATTATACTGTGGGCCACTTATAAACCTCTGTGTGCGCCCAGAGGTGAAGGCAGAGCCCTTAGCATGGCCCACCAGATTCTTCACAAATTGGAGGGATCCACCTACTCAACCTGACTCACTTCTCTTCTCACTCACCACACCCTCGAATGTCTATAATTGTTTATAGGGCAAACTGTTGATCATCCTGGAATTCTCAACTTAAATGTACCTTTGGACCCTTACGGTTCAGATTCTGGGCTCCTGCAGCATTCTTTTAACACTTTTTTATATTTTATTATTATTTTTTGTAGCTATTGTTTCCTTTTCTCTTTAAAGAGACAGCAGTGAGCTCCTTGAAAGAGAGACTATAGCTTTTTGGGTTTTTTTTGATACAGAGTCTCACTCTGTTGCCCAGGCTAGAGTGTAGTGGCACGATCTTGGCTCACTGTGACCTCCACCTCCTGAGTTCAAATGATTCCCCTGCCTCAGCTTCCCAAGTAGCTGGGATTACAGGTGCGTATCACCACACCCTGCTAATTTTTGTATTTTCAGTAGAGACAGGGCTTCACCATGTTGGCCAGGATGGTCTCGATCTGTTGACCTCGTGATCCGCCCACTTCGGCCTCCCAAAGTGCTGGGATTACAGGCATGAGCCCCCACGCCTGGCCATATAGCTTTTGCATCTTTGTATTCTCCTCTACCTTTCCTTGATTTAGGGCAAGCACAACTCCTGTCCTATAGGAGATGATCAATAAATAATTTTTGAAAGAAATTGGTGAGCTAATGATTTCAACAATGGTGCCAACCAGATCAGCTCACTGAAACCCAAACTTCTTCCTTTTCCCTCCAGTCAGTAGTAAATTCAGCTTGAACTATCTGGGGAAATGCTTTAGTTTTCCACTTCCTTTTGCCTGCATAGTGGAGCCTCAGAGACAGGTGGCTTCAGGAGAAAAGTTATCTGAGAATGGTGAGTGATGCAGCCTTTAGACTGACAGCTGCTGATCTTTGCTTTAGTTGATTTCCCCTTTTACAAATGGTTATTGGCAATTGAAACTGCAAATCTACTATCTTCTCTCCTATGTAAATTGCATTTACATTTAAATTGTGCATTTTTCCAAAGAATGGGGTTAGTAAATAACTCGAAGATTAAATTTGAGGAGAGGAAATTATGCCCCACGTCAAACCTGAGACTGAAGTGACATCTGGCTTTTACTATTTCCGTTATTTCAGTTTAATAACAGCATGTGGCATTAAGGGAAGAGAAATTGGATCTACATTTTAATGAAAGGAGGAAGCTCTCAGGGTTTAGATACCTTATCATGTTGAATACCTAGTCAATTGACAATTAAAAGTTGCTTCCCTCAAGAAATAGAATAAAATATCTTTGCAGCCACGGGGAGAATAAAAAACAAAAAACAAAAAAAACAAGCTAGTGCCCAGGACAGATAAAACGGAGGGAGATGATATGCTGCAAAGAATGAAACCAAATATTTCAGGATAGCACAGAGTACAGGAATTCATACACTGAATAATGCTCACAATAGAATCATAACTAAGCTGGTGGATTTTCAAGAGAATAATTTCAAGCAGAATAGTTTGCACATAATATGGGGCTCAACCCATAGATGTTGATTGAAATCATCTGATTTAATCCTTCTCAACCTAGCTTGTTTTAAACCCCAGCGGTTTAACCAAGAAAATATTTCAGAAATGCCTGTTTCATCCCAATAGTCTAACTGTTTAAATGGAAGCAGTTCCACCTGCTGGCTGCTTTTTTGTTGAAAGCAATTCTGGGAAATGTAAACAAAATGCTTGTGCATCCTAATAACCCAAGCCTATCATTTATCTGCTTTGATTGAAACAAATGTGTCAATTTTCAAAGACTTTGTTTGGTGAATGCCATGTTTGGATGTTGGTAAATGTTTGCATTACATGTTTGTTTGGAAACTGATGGTCTATTCAGAAACTGTGGAGCCATCGCCCTTGGAGGCACAGCCTGGGAGCAATCCATGAGCCTTTATAACCACCCACCCAAAGATATTCAGCTCTTTCCCAGAATCTGGAAAGGACTGAAATTATAGACTCCCATGGGCAAGTGTAAATGAGATGAAGCCTCCTGAGGAAGATACTGGATGTGGAAACTTTCTGGGGGTAGGACTCATGAGTAGAGTAATGGAAAACATTTATATAATGCCTACTATGTGCCAAACACTTTATGTGTATTATAACTCATTGAATAACATAGCTCTTTGAAGCAAAGACCATTTTTATTATCCCCAATTATGGACAAAGGGGAGACACAGTGAAGTTAGTAACTTACCCGATGTGACGTCACCCAGCTGGTAAATGACAGAACTGGGATTTGATTCTACGCAGGCTGGCTCCACTGTCCTCATGACCCCTTTTGGCTCAGTCCCTCTATCCCTGCGATTTAATGAAGGCATTGCATTTTCTCACAGTTACATTTTGTCTTGCACACGTCTTTAAAATCTAAGCAGTCGTTCTTGAAAGATGCAGGCTAATAGGCTCACAGATCTTTCCTTAAACAAAATAAGGCAATAACAACAAGTAGCCTTTTGCAACATAGAGGATAATATCTATCTCAGCTGTCTTATAAGAGTGTCCAGAGGATGAAATGAGATGATATAAAAATGCTTTGAAAAGGCCAAAACCGTCAAATTTCTGCAATGTATTATTATTTATCTGCCTTCCATCTTGATTTCTTATTTTCTTAAATGAATAATCCTTAACAAATGAATGCAGGTTTCTTCCACTTTCCTATTTTCCCTGGAGTATATGGTCAAATTGCCCAACTAGTAGTATGGGCCTTTCGATGGGTGGTCTAAAACTTGAGTTTGTTTGATTTCTACTTTGTCTTCCTGGTTTCCTGACCCATTTGGTTTGGTAGCAGCTCCTTACTTCCTGTGCATACTGATGACTTCTCCGCATCTCTTGACATTTTATCATGGCAGTGTGCCTATGAAGTCGACCAGCACCTCCTTCTGTTTGAACTTAGGTTAAATTAATCATCTGATTTGCACATCAATCTGTTGCTAGGGGGGTTACTGATGTCACACTGTCAGTATTATGATTACCATAATATCTAACAGGCAAAAAGGAACTGGTTGCTAATGGAAACCATAGGGTAAAACTCACCCAGCTTTAGTAACCAACTCGATTGCATAGACTTTCGATAACCATGTGAAGGGGTAAGTGGATTAATCATCCCGTTGGATTCCATTTGAATATTTTTCTTCCATATGTGTGTTCCCTCTAGGCAATTGTCTAGTGTCACTTGAAATTGATGAGGGCTCTTTTGGAGGTTATTTTTGGGAAGTTGGTGAAACAACAGACAGCTGTTCTCAGGAACAAATGTCACAGGATCGCTTCCAGTAAAAAAGAAAGAAAGAAAATACCAGGTGCTGAGGTGCATTATCCTTTTTCTTCCTAGAGTTTGGTTGTTTCCCACTGGCCTAAAAGTGTTAAGTCAGTTTCCCAAACACATAGAAAAGGAGGAAACTAGCATTACGAGGTACCCACTATGTGTGCTAGAATGTGACTCTCCTTAAAGCATCGCTTTAGAGAACTGTCAAACCGGGTATTCCAGAACGACACGATTATACATAACAAGTCATGACTGTTTCCAGCTCGTCTGCAATGTTCTGCCACCTGGACATTGACTGATCACCCACAAAAGCAAAGTCATCATTTAAAATGGGTCCACATCCTCCGATGCTGAGTAATTATCTTGCTGTTGTGTTCACTGCAATATTAAAAAGCCTTGAAACGTGATAGAAATGAGGTACAATAAACTCCAAAATTAAAAATCTCTGTTAAAAGGTTTGACAAATGGGTCTGTCTTTTTGCTGATTTGGTTACGTAGGTAGAAGGGTCAATTTTGGGAAATCAAGAGATCAACTGGATAAAACTGATTGAACTTGAGGTTGTGCAGATTAGGAAAAGCCATATCAAGATTTGCATAAATCTATATGAATCAATTTGTGTGCCAGAAAATGAATAGCTACCTTTTTTTTTTCCAAATGCCAATTCAGCAATTACTAAGTCTGCTAGCGCTTAATTAAAAACTACCATCTTGTTATGTTCAGAGTTAAATTACAAGTGTGAAAACTACTACTGTTTGCAGTAACTGAATGCTCTGTACTCTCTGTACTGTCATCAAAAGGAGGGCGGGGATAAATAACTTTTATTTAACTCACTAAAAAAAACTCTCTCAGCTCTTTCATATTTAATTAACTCCTTATCTTCTCAGAGCTTGGGTTTTACTCAGAGTTCCTGAGCAGTCATGGAAATATCTGTTTATTTTGTCCAGAAGATTCTTCTCACATTAGTTGAACCGAACAGTTATAAATAATTGAGCCCTAAATATACTGGGGAAAATGACACCCAAAGTTTTACATTGGAGGCAACTAATCCCAGCAGCGATTTATGGCAGAAGTAGAAAGGGTTGATTTTTGCTTTATTGTCTGTGCACCTAAGAGGTTGGGGAGATAAGATTGTGAACACTTATGTGGGCTGGTAACATTTTAGTACTTATTTGTAAGGTTGTCTTAATGAACTTAATGTTTCACTATTTCAAGAATTCCACCATCAGAAAAGAGGCCAGACTTCCATCACTATGGTAGACGCCAAGTGTCTGAGTGACTGTAAATGGCAGAACCAACTTGAGAAGCTTGGATTTTCACCTGGCCCAATACTACATATGTACAATATGCAGCAAATATTAGAGACTAGTCATTTGTTGTTTGTAAACAACTTACAATAGAAGGAACATATGCAATAAAACCATTAAATTATAAATAGGAAAATGGAAAACCAGAAAGAGGGAAGAGGTAATAAATATACTCAAATCCTACTTACAGATTAGTCCTGGGTGTTTTTCTTACTGCAACCTCCGCCTCCCAGTTTCAAGCTATTCTCCTGCCTTAGCCTCCCAAGAAGCTGGGATTACAGGTGCACACCACCATGCCCAGCTAATTATTTTGTATTTTGTAGGGACGGGGTTTTACCATGTTGCTCAGGCTTGTCTCGAACTCCTGACCTCAAGTAATCCACCTGCCTTGGCCTCCCACAGTACTGGAATTACAGGCATGAGTCACCACACCCAGCCCATGGATTGGGTGTTTTTCATCAGTGAAAAACCAGTTCCTCTTTATTATATTGTCCTATTTTTTGTTTTGTTTTTAGTATGTAGACTCTGTTAACTATGTATTTATTATCTATATTCCTCACAGATAGGATGCACAGCCTTGTCTGTCTTCTCAGATGTATCCAATGCCTGACTCTGTGGTTAATCCATACAGGTATCACCTAAGTGTTTGTGGAAAGGAAGGTGCTACTTGAATAGCTGTGAGTCCACCTCATTTAAAATGCCATAATTGGATAGGGTGCAGTGGCTCCCGTCTATAATCTCAGCACTTTGGGAGGCCGAGGCAGGTGATTCACTTGAGGTCGGGAGTTCAAGACCAGCCTGGCCAACATGGTGAAATCCCATCTCTATTAAAATAGAAAAATTAGCCGAGTGTGGTCCTGGCTGCTGGAGAGGCTGAAGCAGGAGAATTACTTGAATCTGGGAGGCAGAGGCTGCAGTGAGCTGAGATCGTGCCATAGCACTCCAGACTGGGAGACAGAGTGAGACCCTGTCACCCCCTGCCAAAAAAAGCCAAATGTAAGGGATAAGAATAAAAGAATAAAAGTGTGAGTTATGAAATACCTTGAACCCAGTAGGATCATATACAAAAACAGAACAATTTAATTTGTTCTCCAAATTCTTCCTCAGCTTCCACCAGAAAGTTGTATGAAAAAAGTTAGTACAATTGTTGGTCTCACCTCCCTGTGCACCACCTGTGATGAATGAACCCAGAGAGCTGGATGGACCTCAGGACAGTGATGGCAACGAAGGCAGATAACAACTTTGCACTTATTAATACCTTGTCTAGCATGATTTATGCAGCTTTAAACAATGTGCAGCCTGACCCGTGAAATAGCCTCTTTGCACAGAAAGCCTGGAAAATAGGCCCCTGGGCTGTCAAAAGAATCTATAACTTCACATCTGTATTCACACCGGTGACTCAACTGGGTGGAAAGTTGGGGAATGACTGGCTCAACGTGCATGTCCTTTTACTAACTAGAGCCAAATGTGTGGTGATGCCTTAAAATCAGAAATTCCTACAAGTAAATTCTGGGCCTCTTTTGAGGTCTCATCCTCTGCTTTGCCTCAGTCGATACATCTGACCATTATTAGGCTGGTGGCTAACGCCTACATGTAATCCCAGCACTTTGGGAGGCCAAGGCTGGTGGAGCACTTGAGGTCAGGTTCGAGATCAGCCTGGTCAACACAGTGAAACCTCGTCTCTACTAAAAATACAAAAATTAGCCAGGCATGGTGGCACACACCTGTAATCACAGCTACTCTGGAGGCTGAGGCAGGGAATCACTTGAACCCCAGAGGCGGAGGTTGTAGTGAGCCAAGATCACACCACTGCACCCCAGCCTATTGGGCAGAGTGAGACTCCGTCTCCAAAAAGAAAAAAAAAAAAAGATGAACCAAATTATACCTCCCTGAAATCCCTTCTATGCTGACTGCCCTCCTGATTTATATGACAGCTGACAGCAGCTGTCTCTTTCAGGTCACAGAGTGGGTAGGGAGTGGCCCCTGCTATACCATTCTCCTGCAGTGCTTTCTGGCTTCAGGGCTCCTAGGGGAAAGGCTTGGAGATTCCCACAATACATTCCAAGGCATTTTCATTAAACAAATATTTATCAGGAGTTCTCGATGAGCCACAGTAAAATGACAGGAACTACCATTAATTGAAGGCCACCAGTGCATCCTGGGCCTAACCTTTATAATCCCATTTAACTCTCATAGCACTTAGCAGAAGCTCAGAGAGGCCAAGCGACTGGCTCAGCATCATTGAGCTCAGAAGCAGCCCCAGACGATAAGCATACATTAGCATGCGCCATGAAGAGCCGGACCCATCTGTCTTCATCACACTCTATGTCCAGCTCCCGGAACAGTTCCAGGCACATAGCAGAACTCAGTGTACATTGTTGGGTGAAAAGGACAGAACTGAGATGTGGACACTGTCTGGCTCTCCAAACTTTGCTCTTTCCACCCCATACACTTTTCTCACAATTTCTATTGTGAGGAGGAACACATAACATTTTTTTTTTTTTTACCGTGTCTGATCTACAAAAAAAAAGGACAGTATTATATAGTTCAAATTAAAAACTGGATAAACCATGCAAGTGCCTGGGGCCCTCTGAAAAATCCTGTAATCCCGACATTGGAGGCGGCACAGATACTGAAAGCTTTCCCCAGGGGTTTAGCACTGTTGGCCTCACTTGAAAAGGATGGCAAGGTTTAGGGATAAACCTCACTGGCCTTTGAGCAGGCAGTTAGCATGAGTGGTGTGGGCCTCGGGAAAGAGGCTGCCCCAGACCTCTCCTGGTTGTAGAATGTGTTCGGAGTCCTATTCCAGATCCAGGCCTGCTTCTGTTTCCTGCCCTGGGGAGGGACTCAAGGGACCAGACCCGCACCTGAGGAAAAGCAACGCCAGGTTGAAGATTGCAGAACTGCTCACAAGTGCCTTGGACTTCAGGTTAAAGCTATACCACCAAGCTGTTGTGGTCTCGGCCCCGCCGTCCCGGGTCCCAGCATGTAGCCCTCCACAGAAATGTGTTTATGAAGGGCTAGGAGAAAAACTGGTCCTTCAGTTTGTAATGTTTGCCACTGCTTAAGACTGTGCCTACCTGATCCAAGCCAACTACAGGCCATCAGGTCAGAGGTGGAAGCACTGATTCAGTCCTACCCTTGTTAAAAGTAGCAAACCTGGGTCTCCAAGTTAGGTTTGAAAAAGACATTTGAATTTGCTTATTAAAAAAGTCTCTTAGCCCTGGTACCACTAGAGAGGAGGAGTTGTAATATAATGAACCGGAGGGGACATCTTGTGGACTCAGCTTTCTCTTTTCGTTGAAAAAACACCCTGTCCTGGAATGGGCTTGTAGTGGGAATGGGGTGCAGGGAGTGGGGATGCAGGGAATCCTAGACCCGAGGCTGAGCATCAGGTTATCCAAACAGTCAGTGGGTTTGATTTTTCTCATTTTCACTCATTGATTGTCTTGTCAGTGGGTGGACATACCTTTATTTATTTTTTTTGAGACGGAGTTTCACTCTCGTTGCCCAGGCTGGAGATGGCACCATCTCAGCTCACCGCAACCACCTCCTGGGTTCAAGCGATTCTCCTGCCTCAGCCTCCCAAGTAGCTGGGATTACAGGCATGCGCCACCACACCCAGCTAATTTTGTATTTTCAGCGGAGACGGGGTTTTTCCATGTTGGTCAGAACTGGTCTCGAACATCCGAACTCAGGTGATTCACCCACCTCAGCCTCCCAAAGTGCTGGGATTACAGGCGTGAACCACTATACCCGGCAGACATAGCTTTCATTATCTAACTGCTTTCAAACTTCCCAAATGTTTTTGACCTAGAGAACTCATTTAAAATGAATGTGCAACTCCACACAATTCCTCCAGTTTTATCAAAATGCTTCTCTGCAGGTTAACAACATTCTTTTCCATCCCTAGCAGTTTTTAAAGGCTTTTAGCACAGGTCTGGCCTTTCCTTCCTTGGGTGCCTTTTTGGATACAGAAGGAGAAAATCTTCCAGTTCTGTCTTGGCATTCAGGGAGGAACGGGGCTTATAGCTGGTTCAAAGTGACAATGACTAGACTGCAAACAGCTGCCCAGATAAGCAGCCAGCTTGTGTATTTCTCTCGGAGGCATGCAAATATGACAGGCCTTATTCCCAGAGGAAGGCCTAAGTCTGTTCCATGAAGGCTGCGGCAGCTCCGGAGAAATGTTCTTTTCCATCAGAAGGGCCACTTGAATTTTCGTCCCCTTGCAAAAATGTCCTCTGATTGAGAGAAATCAACCTGATGATTTATGTTTATTCCCTTTGCTAGCTCAAATGTTCTCATGGCCTATTTTCCTTTTGTTTCCCATGATCCAGAGCTTGATATCATTTTTCAAGGAAATACACTCTCAACAGAAAAAAGCAAGAAACTCAAAAAATATGTACCATTCTAATGCCTGAATGCTTATACCTATATATTAAAAACAGGAAGTAGCTTTGTTCATCTGTATTAAGAAAGGGGATAGCAAATCATAACATTCTGTCATAGTGGTAAAATCCTAGTTTAAAGAGGATCATTTTAATGCACGTTTCTGTATTGTGAAACGATTTCCATGATCTAGCAGAGAACCCAGAATGACAGGACAATCATTACATTCTGCTATCGTGGTAAACTTCTACTTTAAAGAGGATCATTTTAAGGCAGTTTTCTGTATTGCGAAACAATTTCTGTGATCTAGCAGAGAACCCAGAATGACAGGGTCCCGCCTGCCCCTTCTTGAAAAAGTCACCACTCTGCTTCCCGCAGCTGTCACCCACAATCCCCGCTTTCACCATCTGTTGCCTATGTTCACATATAGCACTGAGCTCAGTTCTGGGTCCACAGTGAACACAGGCTGGCAATTCAAGTTTCTATCCCATTCACTTTTCCAGCCCCTAAGATCTGGCTTCTACCCCCAGCACCATATTGAAGCAAAAGGCCAAGAGTGTCAGGGTTGCAGGTTTTGGGGTGAGGCCTCAGTGGCTTAGGATTTCTGCCCTCCGCTTTTTGGAAGTGTGACTTGGTGGAAGTCAGTGAACAGATCTGACCCTCCTAGCACAGTTAAAGAGCAGTGCCTACCTCACAGGACGAATGTCAAGTGAAAGGCAGGTAAAGCTCTGAGCATAAAACTACAGCCTATACTTAGTGCTCAGTAATGAACTCCAGGGCATCAACTTTAGTAACTTTTTCTGTCTTCTGACTTCTGACCCTCTTTATTTGGAGACGCCTGCCTTCCTTGGATTTTGGAACCCTGCCACCCCTCGGTTCTTGGTTCTGCATCTCTGTTTCTGTCATGACTTTTTGTCTTCCTCTTGGCCCCTGACATGCCTGTGCCTGAGATCCCCTCCTTCAGCCTCTGCTCTGGGTCATTCATTCACTCACCACCTCTGTGTGGCTGCTCCGCACAGGCTTCTCTCCTGAGGCACAGGTCTGCCTATCCAGCTGCCTGCTGGGAAGCGCCTCCCTTTTCCTTCTCTTTCCCTTCCTTCCTTCCCTTCTTCCTGCATTCATTTGACAAATGGTTACCTAACACCATGAATGTTTTGTGGGTTACACACACGTGTTCATGCTTCTCCCCATGGTTATCCCCTTGTACCTCAGGCTCAGGATGTCCAGGACCGACCAAAGACATTTCAGCCCACCCTAAACCTGCATTTGTGGCCTGGGTTTATCCTGATGGTTCCACCACCTCCCCACTGTCCAGGCCCGAAGCCTTGGAGTTATTTGGAACGCCCCCGCCCCCGCTGCAGCTCTTCACACACAAAGACCTACCAAGTCTTTGGGACTTGAATGATTTTTAAAAATCCATCCGTTTTCTCTCTTCCCACCGCTGCTATCCTAGCTTGCACTCATATTACTTATTTATTTATTTTAGAGACAGGGTCTCACTCTGTTGCCCAGGCTGGAGTGCACTGGTGCCGTGATAGCTCACTATAATCTCAAACTCCTAAACTCAAGTAATCCTCCTCCCTCAGCCTCCCGAGTAGCTAGGACTACAGGTACACTCCACCACACCTGGCTAACTGGACAACAATTCTGGCCGGGCACGGTGACTTACTCCTGCTATCCCAGCACTTTGGGAGGCCAAAGGTAGAAGGATTGCCTGAGCTCAAGAGTTTAAAACTCAGCCTGGGCAACCTAGGGAGACCATGTCTTTACAAAATTTAAAAATTGGCTGGGTGTGGTGGTGCACACCTGTGATTCCAGCTACTTGGGGGGC